AAACAATGAACATTAAAATGACCATAAATTTACAACTATCAACAACTGAATCCAAGTAAAGAACTAAGCAAACAAGCAGAACAGGAACAGAATTACAGATTTGGAGTTCATGTAAAGGGTTACCAGTTTGCAGGGGAAAGGGGAAAATTGCAGGACAATAAAGAAGCACAAATGGTTACATACAAAATAGACAGGGGGATGGGATGTTAAGAATAGTATAGGTAATGAAATAGCCAAAAATGCATGAACCATGGACATGAACTAAGTGGGCCAGGGGGAAATGGGGGGACAAGACAGTACTGCTGGAGAGAATGGGGATACCCTGGGTTTTCTGTTACCCAGGCAACGGGAGAAAAATTGGGAAAATTGTAACAGCATAGTCAATAAAATTTATGTTTTAAAAAAAGATGTATAAATAACCCTAGTCCTAAATCTGTAAACAACGCAAGGACACCTCCCTTTATCATTACATTCAATATTATATCAGAAGTCCTACCTAATGGAATAAGGCAAAAAAAAAAAGAAAGAAATGAAAGGCATAAAGAGCAGAAACAAAGGCTTTAAATATTCTCTACTTACAGATAACATGATTGTTTACATAAAAAACCTCAATTAAGTTGCAAAGCAACTAGAACTGTTAAGTGAATGTATAGCAAGTTCACAGGACCCAAGGTTAAAATACAAAATCAGTTTTATTTTAGTTACTAGCAGCAAAGAAATGAAAAATAAAAATTTTAAATCCCACTTAGGAGTTCAAAAGCACAAAATACATAAAAATAAATTTTGTAAGAAACATTCAAGATCTTCAACTGCAAACTATGAAATACTCGTGAAAGAAAATAAAGAATATCCAAATAAATGAAGTTCATGTATATAACAAGTTCCAAGGTAATGGACTGGATAACTCAATATTAAGGCCTCAAATCCTCCAATTAATTAACAAATTCAATAAAATCCCCATCACAATCCCACTAGGTTTGTTCAGGTTAATTTTTTTAATAAACTGATAAACTATTATATAATTGAAATTTACTACAGTGGAACTCAAATGCTTTCACCAAAAAGAATAGAAAAAATTTATGAGCGACTTCTAAAATTTATATTTAAATGTAAAGAAAGAACCTAGAATATCCAAAGTAAGACTGAGAAACAACAAAGTTGCAGTACTTAATACTTCCTGACTAGATCAGGAGTGGAAACATAGAAATGAAGATCTCAAGGAGGGTTAGCAACAGGGGCGTAGGAGGAGGAGAAGGGGGGAGAAGGTACAGAAAATAAGTAGCATAGACAGTAGATAGAAAATAGATGGGGGGGGTAAGAATAGTATGGGAAATATAGAATCTAAAGAACTTGAGACACATGGTCATAAACTAAAGGGGGGATAATGGTGGGGATGGGGGGTAGGGTGGAGGGGAATGAAGGGGGGAATAGAATAACTGTAACAGCATAATAAATAAAAAATAAATTAAAAAAAAAAGAAAACTACATATTCAAGACAATGTTGCATAAGAACTAACATGGGACAAAATAGAGTCCAGAAATACACTCAAACACATAAGGTCATTTTGTTCTTTTATCGAAATATATTTTACATACAGAAAAACTTGGCCTATTTAATGTACTGTTAGTTATATGAATTTGAGGGCATCTTCTATACTACTTTGAAATTGGGTTTGTCTCTCCCTTTGCCAGTACAACATTGTTTTTCTTAGTACTGCTTTATAATAAATGTTAATATCCAGTAGAAAAAAAGAATCACAGTATGGATTTTTGTCCTGCCTAATTTATCATAGCTAATATTGTTTAACAGCAGCAATTCACTATGTTTTTAGTCAAATGAGATAGAATCATCTTTTACATGTTTTAAGAAATTAGGATAACTAGCCCTGGCCATGTGGCTCTGTTTTCAAGCATTGTCCTATATACCGAAAGGTCATGAATTTGATTCCCAGTCAGGGCACTACCTACACTGCAGGTTCAGTCCCCAGACAGGGCACGTTATTAAGTGGCAGCTGATCGATGTTTCTCTGTTTCTCTCTTTCTCTCTCTCCCTCCTTCCCTCCCTCTCTTTCTCTTTCTCTCTCTCTCTCCCCCACTCCCTCCACCCCTCTATAAAATCAATAAGCATGTCCTTGGGTGATGGTAAAAAAAAAAAAAAAAAAAGAAAAGAAACCAAGGCAACTTTTCACAATTGTGATATGGTTGATTTCCTGGCATTCCTGAGGCAGTTATATTTTCTAAAGAAGAATTTGCCTAGTAAAAAAATATACAAGACATTGCAGACAAAATTATAAAAACTTTTCATCCTACCTGAAAAGTCAATCAAGAAAATCATTCCATGAGTTATTTCACTTCCTTTACACATAGTAAGTGGCTTTGGAAAGGAATGGCAAGCTGAGCACCAAGACCACTTCCTCTTCCATGAAGCACATGATTAGGTAACATATTTTCCAGCCTTGCTTGAGTTTAGGTGTGCTTGTGTAACTGACTTCTGACTAGGGCAATACGGGCAGAAGAAATAATGGGCTGGACACATGAAAACTTCCCACAGGAACCTCCATTTTTTTGACCCCCACAATGATTTAAGGCAGACAAGCACAGCCATATGTGGAAAATGGAAGGAAGAGAGCAACAAGGTAGAAAAAAGTTGGGTTCCTCAATCACTGTTTAGAGGAAAACTGCCCACATATCAAGGCTACCAGTGAATAAAAAGTAAATATCTATCATATCTGAACCATTATAAACAAAGGGGGTTATTCTAGCAGCTGAACTTATGTTGACTAAATAAATTAACTGGGCAACTCTAGTCCAAGGTTAGGTTGACTTGAAATGTATGTTCTAGAATCAGTGACAGAGGCAATCACAGGCATACCAGTATAGTATATTTAGAGATTCCAGATGGAATCTCTAAATATACACAGTCGAGGTAACACCAGGTTTGGCCACAATAAAGCAATATATTCCAGAATGAAGTAAATATTGTGCTGAGCAGCTAAGGGTGAAGAAGATACTTTTGAACCACTGATACTATTTCCATAGTTAAATATTAGCTGGTATTAATCACCTAGAGTTTGTGAGGATCTTCTGTACTTCCATTGCCAAAGGTACCATAATTCATATTAAAGCACAACGTTAGAATACTACATGAAATCCAACTCTGAATTTACTTAAAAACTATTGTTGAAGTCATTGCACAAACGGTGTTAAGTGATACAGGAGCTAGAGTTAAAGTTGGGTTTCTTCAGATGTTTCTTTTTTCTCAACAGAAATTTAACATCATGATCTTTCCTTTCCCACATGGGAAGTTGCATGGGCTCTCCTCTTGGTCATGAGAATGACAAAATGTACAGTGCTTCCCTTTATGCCCTGGTCAAGACTCAAAGTAGATGCACTCCCAAAGGAACATTGATTGTTATTGTTGGTACACTTCCACCTTGCTTTGACCTCAGTTGGATAAGTCCTTCATTGCCACATAATTTCATACCAGATGAGGTATGAATAAACTGAATCAATCCGGGAAGGAAATTAATACTCATTAAGTAGCTAGTACATGCTGGGTACTTTAATACAATCCTATCTCATCTTTGCAACAATGAGGAATTTTCCATTATTTTCCACTCCACAAATGAGAAACCAGAGAAGTTATTCAAAACTAAAAAAAAAATGCTGAAGGCCACACACCCAATCAAGATTCAAGTCATCGACATCTGACTCCTAAACTTATCCTTTCCATTTCAAAATGCTGCACTTAACCTATTACATATTGCCAGACTTCAGGCTATGAAAAAAAATAGGATTACCAACTCAATTTTTATTTCCTTTACACATTCATTTTAGTGAGCCAATGGTTCTTAAAATGTCCATCCTTCCACTTACACCGTATTATCACTTTTCCACAAAATGAAAGCTTGCACTGTCCCTTTGACTACAGAGTAAGCTGCAATCAGCAACATCGAGAATTTAGAGGATAAACCCAGGACAGGAGGAGGCCTAGTCTTTCTTGCATTATCTGGACTTAATCGCTGCCTCTCTGAGGAAATACTTGTTTTTTACCTATTAAGTTTTAGTTTCCCCAAGAATTATTTCAGAATATTTTTCAGTAGTTCTTGGATTTCCGAAACCCCATTTTGAAAGATACATTTCTTAGATTACTAAAACAGGTATATGTCAAGGAACTTGAAACACAGTATGACATGATTTTTACCCTACAGCATCTAAAATACTTCCGGGTAGGACTGAAAAACCAGTTTTAATACTGTTCTCTTCCACTTAAAGAGCTGGGTGAAGATCAAGGACAACATGTAGTGTCATACTATAACTACTATTGTATTTTATTTTTTTAAAGATTTTATTTATTTATCTTTAGAGGGGAAGGGAAGGAGAGAGGGAGAGAAATATCAATGTAGTGTTGCCTCGTGTGTCCCCTGCTGGGAACTGGCCTGCAACCCAGGCATGTGCCCTAACTGGGAATCGAACCTCGATTGTCTGGTTCACAGGCCCGTGCTCATATAACTACTATTTTAAGTAATTATTTACTTACCTAGAATACTTAAAAGTCCAATGTAGATAAACTGCTCACTAATCAACATTATCAATTTTCAGCAGCAGTTTTTTTTAAAAGTGTTAAATCAAACCACATTAATATCAAAAGACTAAAATATGCTTAAGTTGGCATGAGTTATCATAAACCATTCTAAAATTAGGGGTTTAACAGTCATTATTATAACTTAATAAGATGTATTTTTATGACAAAGTCTCACTCAAAACTACTGTTAGAAATGCAATTCAGTATTAAACACTTTTACCAAAAGTATATTTCTATAGTGACATTTAACATGATTAAACTATCAAAGCCCAGTTCTTTTAACTGCAAAGGTCAAAACATTTATCCTTCCTTTGAAAACCTGCTATGCTATTTATTGAAGGCCTTCACATATACTATTCACATCTCAGTCCAGTGCTGCATCATGGAAAATGATGTTTTTATTTTTAAGCCTTACCTTCAAATAGGATCCATAATATTTGGTTACATATGGACTGTCACACTGACTCAGCACTGTAATTTCTTGTTGAATGTCCTCTATCTCATCTTCAGCTTCTTCTAGATCAATGATTTTTATGGCAACCACTTTCTGAGTCCGATTGTCAATGCCTTTGAACACCTCACCAAAAGAGCCCTTTCCAATTTTCTCCAGTTTTGTAAAAAGCTCTTCTGGATCTGCTTTTAGGTTCTATAGGAGAGAAAGAAAAGGCAAACTTCAATAATTCACAGTACTGGGATTGCTTTTTCCTTGCATTTATTTATAACATACAGACCACAGTCTTTTTTTACTTTTATTTCTTGATTTTCAGAGAAAGAGAGAAAGGGAGAGAGGAGAAAGGGAGAGGGAAAGAGAAAGAGAGAAGCATGGATTTGTTTGTTGTTCCACTTATTTATGCATTCATTGGTTGATTCTTTTATGAGCCCTGACCTGAGATGGAACCCACAACCTTGATGTATCCGGATGACACTGTACCCAACTCAGCTACCTGGCAAGGGCCAGACCACAGTCTTTCAAGTACTGATCCATCTTCCTCATTTAAGGACCAGGCTGGTTGTGACCACGGTTCTTCATATTTAGGACTTAAAAATTTCTAAGTCTCATATGGGTGCATTAGACTATCAACACAGTATGTAAACATATGCAGGTTATAAAAACTGGAAAATGCTCCAGCATTTGTATAGTTAAAGTAAAAAAAAAAATTAAAATACTTACTTGACTCCAACTACATTATGATATATAGATTTATTTAAAAACCTCTCATCTAGAGAAAAATTCTACTTTTCTCCCCACCCCCTCCTCAATTTTCTAACTTCAGATTGATTATAAAACACAGTTTTTATAGCTATATCATGTAACAGGAAGAAACATTTATGCCCTAACTTAATTGTTTCCTAACAGGCCATGACTTTAAAATCCAACAAATACTGTGTCATGTATCTTCACTTACAGCACCTGCCCTGACCTAACTAAGTATTTTACAGAACGTAGGAAACAAAAAGCAACCTGTCTTCTTTGGTCATTTACACATCATGCTTTTGGAATGGCCTCTAAAAGCTCTTATCTACCAACATGGTTAATTGAAAACACATACACAGTACACATTTTCAAGAAATACAGCTGTAGCGACTACAATACCCATTCTAACAGTTCCCTGACCACAGAGATATGTGAACAGCTAAGTTCTCAACAGGCAACAACCTGTCATCCCCAGGGGGTATCTGGAAATGGTATAGAGGGTACCTGTCACAACCTAGGGGCAATGCTGGCATTTAACAAGGAGAGCTTAGGGACACTACATATCTCACCATGAGGAACTGCCCAGCCCTAAACGCCAATGGCCTGCAACCCCATAAAGTAAGAGAGAATCCTGACAGCCACTAACCCTTACAGATACACCTTCCCTTAGAAACACTTCACAAGAACCAGAGGGTACCAGGCCAACCCTCAAGAAGTAATACTAATGGGAAAAGGAAAAGAGAAGGAAAGGAGGATTGAAAAGAAGGAAGAAAGCACGCATAGGAAAAGGAGGGAATCCACAGATGATTAAACGTTATAAACACAGAATTATAGCATTTTGAGTTATATGAGCTTTGTGGTCTTAACAAGGCACTAACCACTAACTTGCTTTCCCAAGTGAAACACGGAATCCTAAGCAGTGCTTTACAAGGAAACTGCTGAAACCTAGCCAGCCTATTTCCAATGTGGAGGTCAAGGGGTGCGGCAGTTCCGACACTGCAGAAACAACAGTCATGGCTGGCCTCACTTAACAACACCAAAGAGGCCCTGTTTTGAGACTAGGTAATGAATAATGTAGAACTCCCAAAACCCACCTAGCCTATCAGTAAAAAGAAACAAAGTAAGTGAGAAATACACCAGGAAAAAGGGACATGAGAGAAACCATGTCTACTTTCAGCGGCTACAAATTCACCTGTTTTCATAACCTTTCTCTTACCTCCTTCCTTGAAGGATGAGAGAGAGTAGCTCTCCTTATCTTAAAGGCCAATCCTAAAAGCTGGGCCTTTGAATCCATCAGGATATCCTGATGTGGCTTCATCAATAACTATCTTGCATTTACCCCTCTAGACTGCCTCTCTGCCCTGGGCAGGCTACTCAGGTTTCTCTCAAAAATAAAAATAAAAAACAAAAAACCTTGCTTTGCTTCATCAGTTGCCCTCTCCTTCTTTCTCTCCCTTCTCTGAAGTTCTCTGAAAGTCATCCAGACCTGTCAGGCGCCCCACCTCTCACTGGTCACCACCACAGTCTGGCTCCAGCTCTGGCTACCAATGGTGCAGTGCTGTGCATCTGATCCTCTTCTTGAACACCCTCCCCTATTAACTCTCCAGTCCCTTGGTGTCTACAATCCTGTTCTCCACTCATCTTCTTCCAGTTCCCCTGGTCCCAGAAGAGTCTTCACACTCAGACTCTATGTCAGCCCAGAATCACAGGCAGTTCCCCACAAGGTTCCAGACTTAGCCTCCTATTATTTCTCTTCTCATCCCCAGGCCGTCATTCACTTTCATGGTTTGGTGCCATGTTCCCAAATCTAGCTGGTCAGAAACATCTGGGACACTGAGAGATCTCAAACATTTACAGACATGAGGGAGGAGTGGGGCATGCATAATCCACATTTTTAAAAGAACCCAAATGATTCTAATAATGAAATGCCACCTTTGAGGAAAACTCATTTTGAATCATGGTGTACACAGGGACTTTCAAATTGCTAGCTCCAGCCTTGCCTTTTGTGTTTTAACTCCTACATTTAATTACTTGCTAGATGCTTCTTTCTACCTAGATATTGGAGCTCAATATGTATGAACTGAATTATTTCCCCTGCCAAACTGGCAGATCTCCCACAGCACACTACACCTTTGATAGACTATATAAACTGAGAGCGTTCAAGAACCTATCTTACTCACCTCTATAGTGATGTATCTGAGAAAAATAGCTGAGGTCAATAAATATCCTGTGAGCAGTTAAGAAAACCCCAGCCTTACACTGACACAAACAGGATCCAGGGCAGACACAATAAATATCCCAATTCAGAGAGAGCTGCAGGGAATGGCAATAAGGTTAAGGAAGAGGTGCTCAGAGCCAGGAGAGTGAATCTCCCATCTTAGCATCAGAACCACCTGGAGAAATTGTTAGTTAGAGTCCCACTCCGGAGTTCCTCATTCAGTACATTTGGTGTAGGGCTCAAGAAACAGAGAGTACCCAGGTAATATAGTTGCTAGTGGACAGGGGACCACACTGAGATCCAAGGCACTAGCCACACACAGGCCTACTGTACACATGGAGAGAGAGCCCCTGCTTCCTAGCTGTCCCTGCTGAGCCCAGGCCAGCAACTCCCTAGCTAAGCACCGGCACATGAGTGAGCCCAAGCCAGAGGTACAGAAAAAACCCTTGGCCAACCTGGGGAACTATGAGAAACACTAGGTTATTGTTATTTTAGATTCAAAAGAGATCACTGCAGGAGGAAAGTGTTTAAAGGGTACCAAAACTGCACAGGTTTCATTTTAAAAACTGCCTGATTTTCCTTTTGCTTGGCCTTAGAAAAAAGCTTAGAAATAACTTTCACTACTGCTTGACCATCTTCCTCAAAGGCCCTTTCCCAGAGTCTGCACCTATAAAGCTAATGGCAATTGCTTGGTCTTGCATCTGCTCAAGTGTAGTGTGTCATTCCACACTCTTTGTCCCTGTTAGCAACTGTTAACTGGGCTAAAAACTGTCTCTGGCAAGAATAGAGACATCTGCTAAGATAGTGACATCAGGGCACTAAACAAGCAGGGTTCCTTGCCCTTTGGCAATCCTTGCATAAACTGAGATTACATGCAGTGCAGCCCAATGGCTGTAAGAAAAATCAATGCCAACAGTGATGTGTTTCAAAAACGACCTTCAATACCCTGCTGCCAGAATCTGCTCTCCGAGGAAAGGAGCTTTCCTTGGTAAAAAAAAAAAGGTACCATTCTGCCAACCATTTTGAGGATTTTCTTTCCAGAGAGGTTTCTACTGAACTAAGCACAGGTCATCAGTCCAGATTAGGAAGGCCTCCACCCATCCCAGCCTGCCCATTCCAAGTGCTTGGAAGGCAACAGGGTCTGGCTGATGAGTCAAAGTAGCTCAGTCTTCTCTGAATCTAAAGCAGAGGAATGTCAGGACCCTCTCCTTAGATGCCTCCTTCTTAAGAGAGATGAGGCTGAGAGGCTGGGGGGTGAGGAAGCAGGGGTTGGGTTCTGCCAGTCATACACATCCCAGGCCTCGGGACCCAGACTCCTCAATCAAAAATACCAATGCCCAGTGCAATTTCCCATTCCCACAGCTGAGCTAGGAGATTATCATTCTAAGGCAGAGATTTTCAATCTTTTTCATCTCATGGCAAACATAAACTATTGGGTTGGCCAGAAAAGCCCATTTAGTTCTTTCCCATAAAATAAAAGACATATTTTTCATTTTCACCAATAACTTTATTGATTTAGATATTTTGAGTATGTCAGCTAACTACCACATGGTACAATGTTGACTGTTTTTTTTTAATTATTGTATAACTTTATTTTTATTTAAAATATTATATTTCTTTTTTAACAATTTTTTCAGTGTTGTTCAAGTACAGTTTTCTGCCTCCCCCCCACCCCTTCCCACCACCCCACCCCTCCCTGACAGTTCTCAATTAATGTCTCCATTTGATCACTATCAACTTCAAATGGACTACCCAACCATGAAGCATCATCCAGTGAGAAATCTCCAGCACAAAACTTGGCAAATCACTTTTGACACTTTCGATTAGTCACAGCACCTTCTCCATACACTGCACAAATCCTTTTGTGTGTTTGTTGCATTTTTACCTTTCTTAAAATAGTAAAAACTTTAAGACTCCTTTGAAGAGAAAATCCACAGTATAATTAATGTCCTGCTCCTCACTCCAAGATTTAAGAGAAATTTCAAAGCTAGGCCGTTCTGGAACTCAGGCTTCTACAATATAATTCACTGAATTTCATAATCCCTTAAGAAAATTCAGTAAAATAGTTTTAGGGTGACATGTATTTTTTTTTTATTTTTAAACCTGAATAGCTATTACTGTTTTCTTTTGATCATTTCTGGCAATGAAAAATGCATTTGGCATTACTAATCAACTTTCAAAGTTTTTTAGTTTCAGATGACCACTTGCAAAGTCAAACCACACTTATACCACT